AGAAAAAGCAGTGAGAACCAAGATCAAACCAAGGAGAAAGTTAAAAAGAAAGGAATTGAAGAAAGCAAAGAGGAGAAAAAAAAAAGAAAAAAAAAATATTTGGTTTGATGTAGTTAAAAATTTTTTTTTTTAATCTTCAAAGATGAAGCCATGGTTAAAAATTTTATTAAAAATAGAATGAAACCATTTTGGTATAGTTTTGCTAGCTAGCTTGGTGCAGCCCTCCAGTGCAGGCAAAAGCCTTAACCGGTGTGGCAGACCGCTCTTGAGCACCCTTCAGAGTAGCCGAGAGATCGTAACAAATTTTTTGTAAAACTTTATCTCAACAACTAAATTCGATGAATTTTTTTTATTTAAAAAAATTTCATAGACTTTAGTTAGGTGGTTGCCGAGATATCTTTGTAAGATTCTAAGGCGGTAATTAAGAAGCAAAGAAAAAAATCAACTAGGGTTATTTTAATAGGCATTCAAACTTTGAGCGAAAATATCTCGACAACCACCCAACAAAATTCGATGAATTGCGCGGAATTTCACATGGCCACGATCACGTGACTACAGACCGAGCACTGATTATAATTTCGCGTGGCATACTCTTTATACAAAGGTAGCTTTTTAAATGTCTGCACCTTTAATTCACAAAACACAAGATGACCCCGACGCAGAAATCTTGGAATTTCTGCAAATAATTGATGATTCGGGTAAAGATTCTTTAAAATTTTATTATATTTTCCTTAATTTCCTTAAACTCTTCTATAAACATATATTTATTTTACAGACAACAAAAACTTCGATCCGTCAACATATTTCCAATTCAAAGAAGAGAAAGAATGGGATATATCTAGTGAAGCGATTGAAAATGAGACAAATGAGGTAAGTAACATGTCAAGATAACTCAGCCAACCTTATATTTATTAAAATAATGATTATTTATTGCACTTGTCCTTTAGATATATAAAAATCTTATGAACATTCGCTTTGATTCTTTAGAATTATCATTAGGCAGTGTCCCATTACATGAAAGATTGGATTTAGATGAACTTTTTTTAGTAAGTATAAATTTATATTTGTAATATTCAACCATCTCAATCAAGTCTGTCTAATTTTTACAGAAAAATGATGATGATTCATGGACGATGTTAAACCTTACACGTCCTATCGTTCCAAAAACAATAAAATCTGTCGTTCAAAAATCACTAGTGCGTAAAAGCCAAGATGTTTCTAGTACGCAAAGTGTACAAAATCTAACGACTAGAAATTCAACAGTTATATCGAATACTAAAACAGGTTACTTGTCGTTTAAAAAACCATTATTTTTACTCTATGGCTTGATATTGATGTTTAATTATAATTTCAGTAAAAGAAGTGAAGCCCAAAATAACAAGGACCACATCAGTCAATGATGATGACGATATTGACAATTTTTTTAAATCGCTCGAAGATGAAGATGGTAAATTAAGAATTGAAATTTTATATATTATAAGTACATTTTTGTACATTTTTGTGCTCATATAAGTGTTCTTTTTATTTTAGTTAAACCACTTCCTAGGTCAAATAATTTTAAGAAACAGCCGATTCGGAAAGCAACTGGCAGAGATAAAGCATCTAGAAAAACTAAAACAAATAATGAGATGGAAAAGTGGTTGGACGATGTTTTGAATGATTAGTTTGTAATTAATCTAGTATTTTCATGCTGATATTTATTTGTTCATTCCATAAAATAATTTTAAAGCATTAATATATTCATCGGGATATTTTAAGAAATGTTGTACATGCTTACTATCTGGGTAAAATCTTTTTTCAACAATTTTTAAAGTGCCAGATTTTTCACCAATGTAGACACCATTTCTATTTCTTAATCTATTTATAAATTCGATAATGTCCTCCTCAGGAACAATTTGGTCACCAGGACCATATAAAAATAAATAATTAACATTTCTGCCATCAAACGCCCCACCGGGAATATCGTTCAGAACTTTATGTGCCAATGTTTGGTACCTTTTTATAATAGGAAGAGTAAAAAATATTGATAAGAAATTGATTAAAATAGTCGGTGGTTTCATTGGTTGGACAACATCATTTTTATGTAAGGGATCAGAGGCAGTAGTTAGTGAAGAGGTTTTATTTAAGAAGCCACCCATAATGCCTAATGCAACATATTTTTCATTAATCGGGGAAGGTG